AGACTCAAACATTTTGATGTAAAATAAATGAATTTGGAATTTAATTTTGTTGTTCTTAACTAAAGACAAGTTTTTAAAAAAGATAATCAATATATATATATAAGAGGAACTTTTTAAGAGCATACAAAGCGCCACATAATCCTGCCATGTCATTATATATAACAATTATTTACTTATTTTTATACCTTTTGTTTTTATTAGATTCTATTTTTGATTGCATATTGATCTGATATGGAAATAAAAATCCTTATAAATCCACCTTAATTAATTTGGTAAGCTTCAAATAAGTAAAATAATGTTTGGTTATCAAAGTGAAATTCTAATAACGTTTATTGATATGGAAACTAATTTATATTAGTTTACTAAACCGAATTAAATAGAAACAAATATGCAAATTAGTTTACGTATTAATTTGACACCTATTAATAAATTAGTAAGCTTCAAATAAGTAAATAATTAAAAATGAAATAAAAAATTATAACCAACATAAAGTATATATATTTTCACAAGTAAATACGTTTAGCCTAGCCAAATAAGTAAATTTTTTTGGTTGTTTCTTTATTTTACACCTAAAATTCAAATATGCCTTCACTTTTGAAATAGATTCCTAATCCAAATTAGAAAATCTTTATAGGTTTACGGATTCCTACTTTTATTTTAATAGAATGTTTTTAATTGGATTGATTTTAGTTCCAGATTAAATCAGATCAGATCAAACTTTAATAATTATAACAATAAGTCACATAAAAAACAGACATCTAATAGACCATATTAATTCATACCAAATCAAAGCCGAAATTTTAATTCAATTAAAAACGTTCTTATTAATGAGTAAACTGTAAGATCTAACAATTAAGAAATATAGAATTTTTTTATTATTTGGTTCATAACAATTATGTTTACTTGAGATGCTTATGTAAAAGACCAATTTAACTTTTTTCATATTTTTTTCTTTCTTTCACAAATGGAATATATTTCAAATATATTTTTCATGATTCAGGAGATTCCACCTATTTAACCAGAATTCAATCAATTTCAGCAAAATAAGTTAATTCTATTTACTTTAGTATTATCAAACAGACTCTATGTTAGACTAAGTTTATTTTTCTTTTAAATCACATTATATGTGATCCGATAGAAATTAAATTCCAAATTAGCTAAATTACATATTGCCCGTGCATCGCACGGGCTTGAAAGCTAGTTACATATATGTGGCTAAAATTTAGAATATTTGCAAAAAAAAAAAGTGATTATTGACTAAAGTAATAATGGAATAATAGTAATTTATGTTCAACTTTTAAACTTAAGTTATTAGGAGACTACATTATTATATTAATTATTAGTCATATTTGTATAAATTAGTTTACTTTAGTAATGTTTGCAAAAATTTCTTAAAAATTTGAAAAAAAGAAAGAAAGAAATCTTAATTTAAGCATTTGAATTAGAAAATCCATTCCAATTAAAAATTCCCTTCAATCCCTCAAAACATTTGAATTAGACTAAACATATCTTCTCTCACAATAAACATCAATGTTAAAATCGAAATTAACAAAACCAATCATTATAGGTATGTTTTTGTCGATTTTGAGTGTCGATTTAAAATATTTATGATAAAAATATTTTTAAAACTAAAATACTAAATGAATCTAAATGAATTAAATACATTCAATTTTTGTCGTGATGATGTTAATTAATACCCCACATATAAGTGCTGATTAAGGATGTTTTCTTTTGGACTGTTTTCAGTCCCAGACCAGACCAGACCAGACCAGACCAGACCAGATCAGACCAGACTAGACATAAACAGACCAGACCAGAACAGACTTAAACAGACCAGACCAGACCTAGACAGTTATAAAATACAAAGAGACCAGACGTTTACCAGTTCAGACCAGACCAGACCAGACTTAAACAGACCAGACCAGACCAGATCAGACCAGACCAGACCAGATCGGCAAATTTCAGTCCAAAAGAAAACATCCTAAAGATACATAGGAGTAGTTTTTAATTTTTTATTCCCATTTTGGAATTGGTTGTTCTGTGCTGGTGGTCAGAAGTGTCAGCGGTGGGACCACTTAAGATGGTGAGATGTCAGCTAGCATATGCATCCATGATGCTTCTCCTGTTTTTCTTTTTTGGGTTCTTTCTCTTTTATTGGTTGAAAACAATTATAGGGATGGTGAAACTCCACCCTAATTGGCCAAGAAAAAGGATACGGATTGCCATTCTCGGTTAGATATCATTCCAACAACTCCCTCCGTATTTAAAGATTTCTATACTTTCTTTTTTGAGATGTATTTAAAGGTTCCTGCACTTTCAATTTAAGTAAGTTTATCCTTTAGAAAATACTCAACTATCCTTACTATATCTACTTTTTATCTTTTCTTTCATACTTTTACACATCTTCAACTACTTTTTCTACATTATTCACTACGTTTACTATTCTATCATAAAATATTGTGTCAAAAGCAAATGTAGGGAACTATTCTATCATAGAATATTCTAGTCCAAAAAATGTCAAACACAAGTGTGAATATTAATATTATATTTATATATTAAGTAATTTGTGATGAATTTTATAAATCGTGATCAAATTCGCACTTAATATATAGATATAATATTAATATTCACACTTGTTTTGACATTTATTTAACTCGATTCATAAAACCCTCAATTCGACTTAACAAGGCCTCAATCATCCAAAATGCAATCAGACTCAATCATGAACACGATTTATAAAATTGATCACAAATTACTTAATATATAGATATTATATTAATATTCACTCTTGTGTTTGACATTTGTTTTACTTGATTCATAAAAAACCCCAATTCGTCCTAACAAGGCCTCAATCATCCGAAATGCAATCAAAGTCTCTCATGAACACGATTTATAAAATTGATTAGAAATTAATAAATATATAGATATTATATTAATATTCACACATGTGTTTGACATTTTTTTGACTCAATTAATAAAAAACCTTGAATTCGACCTAACAAGGCCTCAATAATCCGAAATGCAATCAGAGTATATCATGAACAATATTTATAAAATTGATCACAAATTACTTAATATATGTATATTATATTAATATTCACACTTGTGTTTGACATTTTTTTTTTATGCGATTCATAAAAACCCCCAATTCTACCTAACAAGGCCTCAATCATCCGAAATGCAATCAGACTCTATTATGAACATGATTTATAAAATTTATCACAAATTACTTAATATATAGATATAATATTAATATTGACACTTGTGTTTGACATTTTTTGACTCGATTCATAACAACTCCCAATTCGACCTAACAAGGCCTCAATCATCCGAAATGCAATCAGACTCTATCATGAACACGATTCATAAAAATGATCAGAAATTACTTAATATATAGATATAATATTAATATTCACACTTGTGTTTGACATTTTTTTGACTCGATTCATAAAACCCCCAATTCGATCTAACAAGGCCTCAATCATCCGAAATACAATCGCACTCAATCGTGAACACAATTTGTAAAATTGATCACAAATTACTTAATATATAGATACTATATTAATATCACACTTGTGTCTGACATGTTTTTGCTCGCTTCATAAAACCCCCCAATTCGACCTAACAAGGCCCCAATCATCTGAAATTCAATTAGAGTCTATCATGAACACGATTTATAAAATGCAATCAGACTCTATCATGAACATGATTAATAAAATGCAATCAGACTCTATCATGAACACGATTTATAAAATTGATCATAAATTACTTAATAAATAGATATCATAATAATATTCACACGTGTGTTTGACATTTTTTGGACTCGATTAATAAAAAAACCCCAATTCGGCCTAACAATGCCTCAATCATCCGAAATGCAATCAGACACTATCATAAACACGATTTATAGAATTGATCACAAATTACTTAATATATAGATATAATATTAATATTCACACTTGTGTTTGACATTTTTTTTACTCGATTCATAAAAAACCCCAATTCGACCTAACAAGGCCTCAATCTTCCGAAATGCAATCAGTCTCTATCATGAACATGATTCATAAAATCGATCAGAAATTATTTAATATATAGATATGATATTAATATTCACACTTGTGTTTGACATTTTTTTGACTCGATTCATAAAAACCCCTAATTCGATCTAACAAGGCCTCAATCATCCGAAATACAATCAGACTCAATCGTGAACACAATTTGTAAAATTGATCACAAATTACTTAATATATAGATATTATATTAATATTCACACTTGTGTTTGACATGTGTTTTATTTGATTCATAAAAAAAAACCAATTCGACCTAACAATGCTTTAATCATCCGAAATGCTTTAATCTCTGTGTATTTTATAACTACGGAAGTCAAGTCTAGTTTGGTCTAGTCTGTTTAAGTCTGGTCTGGTCTTTTTAAGTCTGGTCTGGTGTGAACTGTTTAGTCTGGTCTAGTCTGGGACTGAAAACAGTCCAAATAAAAACATCTTAATTAAATTGGAATAATAAAAATAGTAAAAAATCATTGCTGCTTTAATTTTCGATCCAGGTAATTGAAGACAAATGATATTTTGATTATCATAAATTATACTCCGTAATCAAGTACGTAGAATTGTATAACTAACCAATTTAGTTAAGAAAAATTGATAGTTCAAAATAGCCTCTAAACATTCTACACTTTCAACCTTCTACTTTAACTCATTCAACCCCGTACACATTCTAACCATTCCCCCAACCCCTAACCCTTGACCTCCACTGAAAGAGGGTATCAATCGAGCGACGGTCCGACCTCCGCCTGAACCACCACCATGGGTTGTACGAGGTGCAATCAGACTTTATCATAAACACGATTTATAAAATTGTGATCCGAAAAACGTTAAAAGAAATTAATGAAATTTATTTGAATTTTTTTTTGACCGTCAAAGAAATTTATTTAAAATTAGAAATCCAATTTTCATTTCCAAAAAACTTGGCTATACATAAGGATGAAGAATATGAGCATAAAGCAATGAAAGGACCCTCAACTCATTTCAATAATGTACTTTTAATACTTCCTTCGTTCTTTAATAAGTGCAACACTTTCCTTTTTCGGCAGTTTCAAATTAATTGCAACATTCCATTTTTGGTAAGAAAATATAGCCAAAATGACTACAAGACCCCTCCCCACAGCCGTTTAATATCAATCCATATCCACCCAAATTGATCTTCTCACCTAACAACTGATTTTATCGTAAGCCACGCCCTCAATAACCTCTTATCTTTTCCATCTTCTTCCACTTTTCCTTCTTCCACAGAGGCTCTCTATGTAAAACCTCCTTGTTCTTCCGTGTGATGTGAAGAACTATCATTTTCTTCTTTAATTTCTTTCCACTCTCCACATCTTCTTCCTTTTTAGAAATACGGAGTATGATTTTCTTTTTGTTTTTAAGCGGTATATATAAAGATTAACCGGTAACAACGAAAATTCGCTTGGAATTGCTTCATCACCGGCAGCTTCCATTCATGATCGGACTAGAGGCAACGTAAATTAAGTTGTTCCAGATACTAGACAACAACTTTAAGAGTTTAAGAGAACTCAGCAGGACTACATCAAAGAGAATCGAAGATGGAGAAATTCCTTATTGTCGATTAAACCACCATCAGATTTTGTGTGGGGAGCTTTATTATTCACTTTTAGCTCATTTGGCCGGAAGATATGAAAGGGAAGGATCACTTTAATCAGTCTCTCGATAGACTCTTGAAGAAAGAAAAATTTGATAGGTAGTCCGTAGACTGACAGTACGGGGTGCATAATAATAGCAGTTGAGGGCTGAATGGGGAAAAAGAACACTTTATCTAAGTTTCTTAATTCCCGTGCAATCTTGGACGTTGCATTTAAAACCGAACAGAGGAAGTATTAAAATAATGGAAGGTCATGTTGATGGGAGCCATCAATGATGTACATGGAAGACATGATTGGTGGCAGCAATGGCAGGAGGCAAGTGAAGCTCTACGTATTTTTCATTGGTTGAAAAGTGAAGCTCTTCTTTGATTGGACGAAAAGGATGGACGAGGATTGTGATTTTATAGCATTTGTTTGAGCCGTAAGATGTGTTATGTGTATCCCAATGAAACATTGTTTTTTTACGTAGTAGTATAAAACGAAAATCTACTTCCTGGATCCTAATCACAAAATCTAAAGTCTGTTTGATGCATCTATTTTTTTTATTTATCAGGCTTATCAACCATTTTTTTTTAATCAAAGACGTAATTTTTTGTTTCGTGCGCTGAGTTCTGTAATAGTAAGAAAAAGTAATGTTGGTGTTAATTTTCTGATTGTATTGACTGAAGTTATGGCAAACAATCATTTTAACTATTTTTCAAATAATTTTTTCCTTATTTTATTAACAAAATATATTTTAAATATAATTTTTTCATAAATCAGCATAATCGGCCAATACTGTCACTTCAGCCAGAACATCATAAGTTTTAGCAAAACCAACCGATTCAGCCGATTTCAGTTTTACCAAATAGACTCCTACTCTCCCCATCCCAATATTCGAAGTACTCTTTTTTTCTTGAAGCACTCGTTTTTTAAAGGAATTTTATCAATTCGGGACCTGAAAGATGGATGAATTATCAATTCGGGACCTGAAAGATGAAATGTATCAATATAGGACCTGAATAATGAAAAACTATCAATCTAGGACTTAACATTTCATAGGTTTTGATGTATTTAATTTTTTACTAACTCCATTGCTAATATTTGGTGAATTTTTCTTCACAAAAGTTTTTTAGTTTAATAAAACAAAATATTATTTATTTATTTTTAAAATGAAAAAAGTAATAAAATTTATGAAAACTTAGGTTCTAAATTGATAGTTTCCTATCATTCGGGTCCTAGATCGATAGTTTTCCATCATTCGGGTCCTATACTGATACATTTCATCTTTCGGGTCCCGGATTGATAATTCGTCTATCTTTCAGATCCTGGATTGATAAAAATCCTTTTTTAAAATAATGTCAGATCCGCTCTTAACTATCAATAATAATAATGTTATAAATGAGAGTTTCAAATGATTTCAAAGAGAATTTATAATTAGTCGTTGGACTTAATAAATTCACATTCTATAATAAATAATGAGTTAAGAAAATGTTATCTTCGTCTTATTCTTATTACTCATTGCTTATTCTTATTCTATTCAGACCATAGCACAGATAAAAATTATATGTGCAACGTTAGTAAAATTCTACCCTCTCGACACCCTATTTTACCCATTCTACACTAGCTTCTACCCGTAATAAAAAAGTTAACAATAAATTTGTGGTTCTTGTTATTTCTCTCTCCTCTGCACGTACATATTTCAACCACACAGTTTTTACTTTGTTTTTCTCATGACGGTCAAACATGACAAAGTATTGAGGGACGGAGGGAGTAAAATATATAAAATGGGTTGAAAACCATGAGAATGATGGTCGAAGATGTTTTTATATTTTTTTATTACTATGGGTAGAATCTAGTGTAGAATGAGTAGAATAGTGCGCAGAGTGAGTAGAATATCACCAATGTTACATATATAATTTTTTTTCATAATTAGTTATTCAAACATAGGCAATAACTGATTTATAATAATACAAGTGAGAATTTAATTTAAAAAACTGATTAGAACACAAGTCATATTAATTCCAAATATCTACCACGGTGGTTTCTAGATAGTTGAATGAGTACAAAACCTCAATGTGTAGAGGGTCGAACGAGTAGAAGTAGATGGTAGAATGAGTATAGTGTCCAGGAGTTGAATGTAGTTTTTAAGTACAAGAGGTTTAGAAATCTAATTTTTTTCTTAAAAAATTGAAAAGATAAAATAAAGATCTCATTGTTTTTTATACCTTTCAATTATTATTTTTGAATAGTTCTGTAGTAAACAAAAACAAAATTAAACTCCAAATTGATTTATTTTACATCAGAATGTTTGACTTTTCAAATCAAAATTATTCAAATAAAAATGTTTGTTGTTGTTGTTCTTATTGTTTGAATCTTAATTTTAGTTCTTTGACAATTAATAAAAATTTTGTTCTTCGCAATTAATACATTAGCTACAACTAACTAAGATCCAAAAAACTACAAATTATAAAACTAAGATCATGTGGTTAATTTTCTATTTTTTAATCTCATAACCCACTCTAGAGGGTCTTTAGCTATTTTCATACAATTTTCTTCTTATTTTATTGATGAAATATATTACAATTCTTGTTTCTTCATAAATCAGCAGACTCAACCGATCCGTTCTTCTACTTCTTTATATATATATATATATGTGTGTGTGTGTGTGTGTGTGTGTGTGTGTGAGGCCTGATCCTGTCCAGCCGGAGGGACAGGACCCGCCGTCCGGCCGTCGCCATTTGGGGCCCTTCCCGGTGGAATTTTTTGCTGAAATTTTTTTAGCATGTTCTTCATGAAGTCTAGTTTATCCATACCAAATTTTTGTATGGATAAACTAGACTTAATGTAGAACATGCTATAAAAATTTCATCAAAAAATTCGACCGGAAAGGCGGCCAAACGCGTCCGTCCGGACAGCGGTTCCGGTCAGGAATTCCTGACCGGAAGAGTACTCATCTTCTACTCATTCAACCCTCTACACATTATACAATTCATATCTAATTAACCATTTTGAAATCATTGTGGTTGATAATTTCAATATTACTGTTCTAATTTGCTTTTTTGAAATTTATGATTGTGTTGAAATATATGAAACTCTGGTTGAATTGATTGATTCTGCTAATTTATGAAAAAATTATATTTAAAATTTTATTTATTAACAAAAAATATATATGTAAAATAACTATAATGGTCCTCCACAATAAAAAAATATACTCCACAATTTTTCTTTAAACAAATTGAAGAGATAAAATTAAGATATGTGTTTCAATTACAAGTATTATTTAATACTCTTATCTCGAAAAGATAAATTGAGTTGATCATATAGAACAACCTGACAACTCAGATTTTATGGTGGTTAATTGATTTTAATACTAAATTTTCTTTTGTGGTAGTTAATTGATTAGAGGTATCAGATTTTGTGGGTTTTATGGGCTAAAGCCATTGAAATTGATAAACCTAATCTGAAACGATTGAATAGACTACATTTGTTGAATTATGGAAAAAATATACTACCCCCGTCTCACTAAGATTGAGACAAGAGAAAGTGACACGATTATTATGAAAAATGAGTTTGTGTGGTTAATATTAAATTGATAAAGTAGGAACAAAGTAAGAATGGTTTAGAGCCACACAAACTTTACCAAATTTGGTATGAGACAATCTTAGTGGGATTTCCTGAAGGGAGTAATTACTTTTATTAATGAAAAATAGGAGATCATTTGATACTATCGAAATTGACTTTATCGATCGAATCTTCGGATATTGATTAAGTCTAAAAGAAGTAGCTAAATGGGTCGAATTTATTGAATTTTGGGGGGGAAATATTTGAAATATTTTTTATTAATGAAGGGGAAAATATATATGAAAATAGCTAAAAAGCTAACACCTTCATCCAGGGGAACTTTAGCCTATTCAACTAGAAAAGTAACTCATTTAAAAAAATAGAAAAATAATTCCAACCTTACTTATTTTGATTATAATTAATTTCACTTTTGGTCCTATGAGTTTTATGTTAATTGCACATTTAGTCCACGTCTTTCACTTTGTCCACTTTTTGCTACTTGACTAATGTTTCTTGTCTCTTGACCATTTGATGTCCTTCTCCGGTGATTTTACCCACCACAATTATTGTCGGAAAGATCATAGATGGGCGAAAACACAATAGTCATTGGTATACGTTTTGATATACGTTTTGTAAAAATAGGTAACTGCTTTTATTTAGGTCGAAATTTGTAAAAATATATCCAGGGTTTTCGACCTACAAAACGTATAGAGAGTCGAAATTGTTAGAGCAATGTTTTTCAATATTTTATTTATTTTGACCTACATATCGTACCAGTTGAGCTACGCCCACCGGTAATTTTTTATTGTGTTTCAGTACCAGGGTGATGTAACTTTTGTTTAAAAAAATGTAATAACGTAAGTTAAGTTGATATGTAAGTGATTTAAAACCGAATGTAAGGAGAAAATTGATTTCAATGAAAAAAATGAAAAATTGATCCTAATTGCCCAATTACTTTTTATAAATAGTGAATATGTCTTGAATTTTTAATATTAGGGCTATAAAAATTGATTTAGTTAACAAATAATGTTTTGATCCTCTGCATGGTTTATTTAGTGGTGTAACTCACATACATTAAGATGTAACTCGCGTACATTAAAATGTAATTCTAGAAAAGTTGAAATGTAAACATCTTATATATACATACATACATATAGGAAAAGAAAAAAGAATATTTATATATATTATTAACATTGATTTCAATGCAAACAAGGAAAATTGGTCCCAATGGTCTACCTACTTTTTGTAAATAGTGAATGTTTTTTTTAAATCAGGGTTATAAAAAGTAATATAATTTAAAATTCTTTTTTAATCATTAGCAGGGTTTATTTCATGGTGTAACTCGCGTACATTAAGATGTATCTCACGCATAAAAAGATTTAACTCGATTCATAAAAACCCCCAATTCGACCTAACAAGGCCTCAATCATTTGAAATGCAATCAGACTCTATCATGAACACAAGTTACAAAATTGATCAAAAATTACTTAAAATATTGTTTATTAATAAAAAAATATATATGTCAAAATAGCTATAATGATCCTCCACACTACAAAAATATACTCCACAATTTTTCTTTAAACAAATTGAAGAGATAAAATTAAAATAAGAAATTCAATTAGTTTTTTTTATTCTTGAAGTTACATTTGATAATATATCATGGAGTTAACGTACGCAAGTTACATCTTAATATACGCGAGTTACATCATGGAATAAACCCCTGCTATATCATTTTCTTAGCCCTAATATTTTAAAAAAACATATTCACCATTTTTAAAAAGTAATTAAGCTATTAGGATCATTTTTTCATTGGTTACATTGAAATAAATGTTTATAATGTGTGTGTGTGATGTGTATATATATAATCCACACACACAAAAACCTTTGTTCAATTTTCCAACAAGTTATATCAAGTTAACACCTAAGTTATATTTTCTTTCAACGCGAGTTACATTTGGAATAACTTGAGTTACATTAAAAAATCAACCCCTGCTATTGAAACAAAAATATGTTCTCTTAAAAAACAATCATTTTTATGATCATGATATTGAAAACAAAACATATTC